AAAGGTCATGGACATGGATTTCCTTTGGTTCGACTCTATGAAAAGGTCAGCTGAGGGCACCATGAAATGGCAGTGAGGCCTTCAGATCGCCCTCTCGGGGACCAGAGTCCTCACATCACCCTGAAATGCCACAGAGCCCTCCAGCACCACCTCAGAGGACTTGGACTGGGTCCCGGGAGCCGCCGAGGCCTCGTCTCGTCCCTCAGCAATATGCTGCGCATCAAACTGCAGCACTCACACAGTTATGTGTGCAACAAAACTTATTTTTTTGTCCACATTATGGACGTGAAGCCATATGTAGAGAATTTTGTAACATTTTTAATGTAAATGGAGACATCAGAGGAAAGTTTATACAAAAACGTGTAACGAAACGAACTTATTTTCTTTCTGGAAGACATCATCCCACAGTGCCATAACCTATTAATTATAGGCCTTAATAATGAACGAATAAGACATAAATGTGAATTACTAAGTAATAACACCAGCTGAGTCATTATACAAAATGTTAACTTTGACGTGTCTCATTATTTGACACAGTTAAACTTAAATTTACAGTTTGAAATTATTTAAATATCATTTATTCTGAAGTCATCCACAGGCCGAATATGGCCCGCGGGCCTCCAGTTGATCGGCTCTGCTCTATTAGCTGAGTCATAGTTGTGAAATTCTGTCTCTCTCTCGCTCTCTCTGGGTGCAACACTACATGTACCCGTATCGAACAGTGCTGTATCGAACAATACAGATTTAAAAAAATTGACTTGATCAACATGTCTTCTGAAGATGCTCTGTGTTAAAGGATCAGTGGATCTGTGTTCGACTACTCCACCTAGGCTGCATTTTTGAGCGCAGATCCACTGAGAAACTTGCTGTTTCAGCAACATTTAATTTAAAGTGTATCTTACCCCCCTGTGAAAAGATAACGCCGTCCCAAGGCGAAATTTGAAAAATGCATCAAAGTGGGTAGGGGAGGTTGTGTGGGTAGGGGAGGTTGTGTGGGTAGGGGAGGT